GGAATGAGTTTGGAAATGTTTTGGATTAATTGAAAATGAAAAATGAGTGAAACAGAAAATTCTGGGTAAAACCTTCCAAAAGGTCTAGACAAAACCTACCGGAAGGTTTAGACAAAGACATGAAAAAACTGGAACAATGGGTGAAACCTTCCGGAAGGTCTTCACATTTTTCTAAAATGAGGGAATCTAGTGTGTAACTTCTTCCGAAAGGTTTAACACATCTTCTGGAAGGTCGACACATCTTTCTTCAAGATAGGATTCTAGTATGCTAAATCTTCCGGAAGGTTGAGGAAACCTTTCGGAACGTTGAGCAAAACCTTCCGGAAGGTTTTTCAAAAATCTGAAATTTTAATAATGCATTGCCATGCTTTTTGGGCTATGTGTTTTTTGGTTCCAATGACACAAATGGACCTTAAATGAGATACACTGGGGTATATTGAACCTCGATGTGATTAAATGATTAAAGGAACACGGGTTACACCTGTGAGTTGTAATCCCGGACAAAGGGATATTATTGACGTGATGCCGAAGTTGGCAACAATCATGAGTATTTCTGCGGGTTGACGGGTGGTCAACGGTTAACAAAGGACCTCCGAATTTTGGGGTGTCACAACTATTGAATAAAATTCATTGAAATTGTAATAAAGAACATATGAATCTATATAATAGCTTGAGAAGAGAATGATATAAATAGTAAATAGTAAATAGATGAATTAAAACAAAGATTCTTTGCCCTTTATGAAACGTAGAGGACTTGTTTAGTCGTTCTGCTCACTCGCCTACACAGGCACCCACACAACATTTTTTCACCATTCTATTTTTACTTTTTAATTTTATTGTAATTTTTAATTTATTTTTTGTTTTACTGGCGGTTACAGAAATCGTGGTTTAAACCCACATTTCTCAATGTGAAATTATACTTGCAAAATTCGCTTTCCATTTTTCTAATCAAAGCTTGCTTAGTAACTTTTACATTGAAAGTGAAAGTTTAAATGACCTTTGAGAACTAGATTGATAAGTATAGTAGAGTGAAATATATTTCAACAACAATAGTAGAATAGAAATAGCTTCCCATGACCATGAAGATGAAATGAAAAATATCTTAATGGCGTAAGATAAAGGTATAAGGACGAAGAGTGTGTAGGGAGATCCAAAGATAGACATATGTATGTGTGTGGGGTAGTTTTGTGAGTTTGGGGCTGAACAACTCTTTTTGGTCATTGGAAAATGAAAGCTTATGAGAATAAAATGACTCAAGAAGTTCATTGGTTCACCAAACTGAAGAGTTAGGTTAGTCCATTCCAATGGAGTCTCTTACTCATTGGTTTGTATTGCTTGGAGAAAAAGATTGATACAAAGAGATTCTATCTTTTTTTCATAGGGTAAATCCTCCTATTTGTATAGGGATTAACTTTTGTCTTTATTCGAGCTTGCGTGGTCCCCCCAATTTGTTAGAATCATCTTGGGGAATATTTTTTCGTTAAAGGATTTCTGACACTATTCCACGTGTCCTTTAGAAATGATGAGGTGTCATCTTTGAAGTGATATCTTCGAGCCCAAGGTAAGGATGGTTCATCGGGCCTTTTTTGTCTTCTAAAATGCTTACCCGAGTTTTCAAGGTTGTGACCGAGCTGATTAGGTATCATTTGATGGTCCAAGAGAAGCTCTCCTCCTGAAGAGCTATTAAAGCTAGGAGGCCAGCCTAGCCAAGCTTTGTAGCTATGTTGTACTAGAAACTCTCGAGTTTAAATTATGTCGGCAAGGAGCTCACTCCCTTTACTAGTCATTTTAGCTCTGGACTTCATGGGCGAGTTCTTCAATGTTGAGCTTTGATAAATTGAGCTTAATTCTGGTTCATGGTATCATCAGTTGCCCCCCAGTCTGAGCTCAGACCGTACTGTACTAGCTCTAGGTCAGGGTTGGATTGAGCTAAAGGTAAGGTTTATGTCTCGTAGGTGCGTCACTTGCTAAAACATTGATGTGATGTGATGTGACCATTTGGTTGAGGAGACACAACTACATAAAGGTAAAGTGTATTTCATGCCTCAATTTTTGGGATGCTTTCATCGTACGTGTACGCGCGGCCTCAATCAATGGCGCAAGATGCTTTTAAACTCATGCCTAGTGTTGTCCGAATTTGATATTGACAATTTACGTGCAAGTATACACAATCAACAAGTAATAAAGTGATAAGTAGAGTATCGTTCCCACAGATAATTATTGCTAATAATATTCAAGTACTAACTTTATATCAATTCAATTTTATTTAAACAATTGAAATTGAACTATGGAATGACTAAATTAAAACTAAATCTAAACTTAAAAATCAAGGGTTGAATTTACTAGAGAAAAGAAGTTAAGATTACAACTTCCCCTAATGCTTCGTATAAATCTTTCTACTCTCTTTCCAGTCAATTGATCAAAATAAGTTGTTAACTGAGAACTCAAAATTATTTATCAAACCTCTCCCAATTAAATTACTATATTCCTATGCAACATAAGTTGGAATAGATTCATTAAGTTCAAACTCTCATAAAAGTTACACATAACATATAGGTATATTCTTATCCTATATACAAACCCAGCAATTCAATCCTAAGAAGAATTAACCAGACGCATGTCATCATATTCAAATCTAAACCTAAAATTCATCTCTCAATTTCATCTAGGTTATCAAACTAATTGTTGGTCACACAATCATATATTAAGCACAAAATATGACAAACAACTCATATAAGATCAATAAGAACTAGAAACGAGAGTAGATTAATTTAACTAGATATAAGTTTCGTTGCAAGCTTAATAATAATTTAGTTCATAACGTAATTGAAAAACATCATTCTAATATTAAACAACATCTTAGAAAATTAAGAAGTAAAAGTAAGAGAAAAGAATGAAAATTTAGGTGCAATCTTCAATCCTTCTCTAGCCTTCATTCACGATCAATCTTCTTCGTGTTGATTCCTTTGATTCTTATCTTCAATTTTCTTCCAATTCCTTGGTCTTTCTCCAATATTTTCAGCCCCCAAAAGTCAGAATATATCATCCCCACACAAACCCTAGCATATATATAATGTTAGAGTCCAATTTTGGGTCAAAAACAAGGTAAAATTCACATCACGGACTAACACAAGTGCAGGGGCGCCATAAGGACAGTAGGATGACACTGGGGAGCCAGTAATGGCGCTGGGGCGCGCTCCTTGGTAGGCTGCCTGCTCCGGACCAGTTTTCGTAGAATCACCATAACTTTTGATAAAATTGTTCGATTGAGCTGAAATTTTGCAAAAAGATAGAAAACATCCAGATGTACAACTTTCATGTTTTTCACTTTGTCATATTCGAAGTGGATCATGATCAAAAAGGCATAAAACCAAGGTACTACTACAAAATAATGTGAGTGATTATGCCTATGTTACTAGACACCAATACCTCCTTGATTTCTTTCACTTTTAAGCCTCCAAATCCTCATGTAATGTGTCCATCTCTTCATCACTCATCCACACTTAGTTTCAAGGCTCTAAAATCCATTATTTACTCTATAATTACTCCACTACAATGCCCTTTAGCTTCCTCTTCAAAAATCCAACACTTAGGCTCCAATTTTGACCTTGTTTTCTTCCAAATGATCATGATTCCTTCCAAATAATAATCCCTACAAAATAACATCAAAACACACAAAAAAAATAAAAATGAACATAAAATAATTGAAAACTTGTAATTTCATTAAGTCAAAAGTACTCATTTCATAGGTATAAAACCCACTCATCACCTAGCTTATTAATTGCACATGAGGGGATTGAACTGCAAAAACACGAAGATGTTTGAACTTCTTACCTTCATTGTTGTGAGGCCCTCGACCCCTTTGCTAAAACAATAAAGAGAGAAATACCTTAAAGTTTTTGGTGTTGTGCAGTCTATCTTTTCATCATCTTCCCATCCAATATGCATGTTCTTTAGGTATATCCCTCTCCTCTTATTCCCCCTTGGATCGAATTGATCCCTGATGATAGTATATAGGGTTTTGATTCATATTCCTTAGGTTTTGTTTCTTTAGGAGTTCCCTTGGATCCTTTGCATCTTTCCCTTCTTTTGTCAATCATCCTTCAGTGTTTAGGCTATCTTTGGTTAGGGTTTGGAGCCTTGATATGAGAGTCATAGAATATTTCTCGAGCCATTTATCCTAATTATATCTTAGGCTAGGGTGTGGGATTCCTATGATGAGTGTTGTATTTGGCACTTTTTACAAGTTCTCTTCTTCCATCTCTTAAATTCTTTGGGGGAGTGTCGAGGGCGAGGAGTATTACTTTTCTCCCGGGGACGAGGATCTCCATACTGAGGAAGTTCAGGAAGAGGAGCTTCTTTTAGCCTTAATTGAGACTAAGAAAGCTCATCTAGAATGACCTAGAGGAGTCTCTACATGTGTCCTCGATCTTGAAGCAACTACTTCGGGCCGCCCAGAGGATGTTCTGATCTGACCTGTAGTGCTACTTCAACTCAGAGTCATATTACCAAAAATTGGGCCCAGTCCCTCATGGAGCTGTTTGGATTTCCCAACAGGGTAATGATTCATGTTCTCAAGGTTGAAGATGGATGTAATTTTTATGTTCTCAAGAAGGTCTACTTCTTTGTGTCTGCCTTTGAGTCAGGCCTCAGGTTCCCAACGCATCCTTTTATTCGTGAGGTCCTTTGCCACTATAATCTTTGTCCAACTAGGTTTATCTCCCAATGGGTGGGATCCTTTGATGGGTCTGTTGGTCCATTGTTGGGAGAGTCGCATTGAATATCCTCCCACTTTGTCTGAGTTTGCATACTACTTCTATCTCAAGTCTTCCCCATCTCCGGAATTTCTCTATTTTGCCAAGAGAGTGATGGTTAAAGGGTTAATTTTTGACCTCCCTACCTCGCACAAATGTTGGAAGGAAGATTTATTTTTTATTCTCAGGGATGTCTGGGAGCTAACAGGAGATGTTAGTGACATCTTTCGAGTGCCTCGCTACAAAATGTGCATAAGTCTTGCATCTGTGGATGAGGTATTTAGTTGGTGCTTTCCTATGTACTCTTATGTACATTTTTATGAAATTGACCTCGGCTAAAACAAAACTACAGGATTCCAACCTCCCCTTATCGTCACCAAGCTTATTCGAACTACCAAGGCTAAAGAACATGATTTGAAGTCTTTTAAAGAGCTCATGACTCCAGAGAATTTGGCCAAATACGAGTTAGGCCCTCCTTTTGAGAAGCCCCCTTCTGGTATGTAGCTAAATGTAGACTAATAAAATTTATTTTCTTCTTTTTTTTGACCCTTTTTTGTTGTTCCAAGTTCTGCTTTAATGAATCCTCATGAAGAGTTGTGAGAAAGGCAATAGCGGAAAGGAAGTGGAGACAACTGGTGAAAATGGCTAATCTCCTTGACGCCAAGAGGTCAAAATTGACTATCCTCCTGCCGTCAAGGGGTGCCTTGGCTCCTCCTCTTGAAAATTTTTGACCCACTAGGCAAGATCCACTAGCTTTAACATATCTTGAAGGAATAGGTCTCGTAGAGAAAACTATAGTCATTTTAGACAAGATTGCTTCTGAAACTAGAATTACTCCTGCTCCTATTCCCTAGGTCTCCACCGCATTTAAGACTACTACCTCAGCTACTCTTGAGAAAGAAATAGCTGGTGTTAGCTCAGACCGTCCCGTTTTGGTCGAAGATAAACTTGCCTTTTTGCATGATCTTTTCTCGACCGTGCAAACTCTTCTTAATGTGGTTCTCAAGGATGAACTCTGTGAAATGACAAAGCTCAACTTCAACAACAAGGTCTACCATGCCCTCTATAGTTTTTTCGAGGTATGGTTTCTCCTTTTCTTCTTTCCTCTTTTTTTTTTATGTGTTATTTTTTTGATTATCCTCTTCTTCATTTGTAGTCCACAACTTATGTCAAAGTCATGAACCAAGGGACACGATTTGGTCAAGCTCTACAAGGATAGAGCCTTGGAACCGGCTACTTGCAAGAAGTGTCTTGTGGCTTTTCATCATAACGTAGATGAACTAAAACTTTCTCAAGATTTTCTAAAAAATGACTTGGCCTCCAAGGAGTCTGAGGTCACTAACTTGGTTATAGTTATGGACACTACTAAATCTAAGGAGACTAGAGTCGAGGAAGAAATGATGAAGTTGAGAGCTGATTTTGAAAAGACTTCCAAGGCATGACTTGAGTTGGGAGATGCTTTGTAGAGGTTGGAAGCATTCTTAAAGGCCAAGGATGAGGAGATAGAGAAACTTCAGGAGAAGGCCACCAATAGCTTCATTGAGGGCTTTGAGAACTTCCAACGTTAGGTCGAGAAGAAATTTCCTAAGCTGAAATTTGACTCCTTCATGTCGATTTTTCCAAAAGAATAGGTAAAGAAAAAGGGGGTCGAGGTCTCAGTCGAGGATGTTGTTGAGTCACAAGAGGTGGGGCAAGAGCATATGTGAAGCACTGCTTTACTAGATCCACAAGACCTTTTAGTTATTTTTTTCATTTGGCAAGGAGATCATCTATTTGTACTTGACATTCTGTGTTAATATTAACTTCTTTTAAAGACAATTTTGTTTTTATACCCCTTTTACCCAAATTTATGTCATACATGGGGGATAGGGGTAATTGATCAACTGCCCCCAACACCTCTGGAAGATAAGCATCTTTCTTAAGGTGTGTGATTTATGTTTAATATCTTGTGCCGTTAACTTATTGCAGTTGAGGCAACTTAATGATGTTCGGCCTTCAGTTGAGGATGTGCCTCTTAAGGACCAACTAGGAAGCTTGAAAGATTGAGGAGGTCATTTCTAGATAAGGAGCTTAGATATCTGAGGAGCTCATCCTAGCTAAAAAGCTTAGAAATTTGAGGATCTTTTCCCAGCTACAAAGCTTAGATATTTGAAGAAATCATTCTAGCTAAGAAGCTTAGAAATCCGAGGAGCACTTCCTAGTTACAAAGCTTAGAGAATATGTATGGCTTCTGGAACAAACTATAATTGTCGAGGGGGTACTAAAAGAACATAACTTTGACATGTATGTTTCTACTGTGCGGTCGTGCGATTGTGGAGCATGGCGTGCACCTAGATTCATGTGTCATTTCAATCTTATGGAGCCACATGTCTGGGATATCAAGCTCATTTAATGCATGTCCATTGTATTAAATGCGTCTCAAGGAGATGAATGGGCAAAATGAAAAATCCTATTTAAACTTTTCCATCTTTTCATTTTCTTCATTGTTCACCTTTCTTTTCTTTGTACTTTGGTGTGAGAGTGTTGCTTGAGGGGAGAAGATGAACTTGTCAATTTTTCTTTTTGTCAAAGTTTTTGCATTTCCTAGGTACATTTTTGGTCGCCATGGATGCTACTATAGGAAAGCTTGAGGCTTCTTTTGCAAAAAAGAGAGTCCCATGTGGCTTGGAAAACCCAAGTTCATTCCCCCTGATGAAGCCGAGTGTCTTCACTAAGCCTGAAGTTGTCAACATTAGGGAACGCTACAGATTCCCTAACGGGGTCTCGGTAGGGCTGTTAATCAGACTGAACTACTCGAGCTTGACTTGAGTTCAGCTCATTCAAGCTCAGTTTATTTTTTAAATAAGCCTGAACTTAACAAGTTTTTAAACTTATTTAGAAAACAAGTCATACAAACTCGGCTCAAAATCGATAAGTTCGGCTCATTTATGTGCAAATATTTTGGCTCGGCTCGGGCTCGACTTATTTTTGCTCGTTCAGGCTTGGCTCGTTTTGTAAACGAACCGAACTTGAACAATTTTTAAGGCTCGATTAAAAAATAAGTTTTTCAAGCTCGACTCGAACTCGACTCGGGCTCGTTCGACTAATAGCTCTTGGTCTCGGTACACATTCGATCCCCAAAAATCCGCCACAACTTCTACCTTCCCTTCAAGATCTACTGAATTGTCTTTTGAAATTGGCCTAAGGTTTCCTCTGCAACCGTTTGTTAGACCAGTCCTTCATTACTTCAACATGGGCCCCTTTAGGCTATCCATGGAGGGATGAGGTTTGTTGATGGCATTTCTTATTTATTGGCATCAGAATGTGATAGTTCTTCCCCTCCTATTTTTGAATTTCTCCATTTCTTTTGTTTGGTGCATTCTTTTTTTCCCAGCTTTTACTGCTTTGCAAAAAGAGTCGGAATGCCTAAGTTGATCTCTAAGCTTCCCTCTTCCCCTGATGGTTGGCGGTCTAGGTTCTTCTTCGTATCCAAAGGTGGTAGGAAGTTTGACAATGAGGCAATTAGATCTATTAATGTCCCCCAAATGTTGATGATCCCCAAAATTTGGGTGAGTTGTATTATTTTGGGCCTCCATTTACTCTAATTTGTCTAGTTTTGTTTTTCTAACTTCCTTCCCTTGGAGTCTTAGATGAAAGACTTGCTCTGCATTTGGCCTTTCAGGGACTTGTCTTATGCGGTGCAAGGTCTTGGTCACGGTGAAGGATCCTGTCAAGATGCGATGAGGGTCTGGTCCCGTGGTGAAGGAAGCTTCTTCTTGTGAGTTTTCTTATAAATCCCCACATGTTCATCTTAATATAGTGACATAATTATTTTTTATTGCTTATATATGTAATGACGTAAGAATGAACCATATAGGTTGTAAGGGTAGAAATAAATAATTAGGAGATAAATTGATCATAAAGTTTGACTTTTCGAGGCATTTAAGCATGAGAAGGGTGGTTAGGTAAATTTTTAAATATTTTTTAGTCAAAATAAGGTTTTCATTGAATCCTAAAGGTCGAGAAATCTTAGGAGAGGTAATAGGGGTGTATTAGAAGTTATAGGGTATTCCGGAGTTAAAACACATTTTAGAAAGAATTCATGTAGGAAGAAACCATTGAGAAAGACCTATTGATTCTTGAATTCTAAAATTCATATTATTAATTAAATTAGGTTTTCAATCAACTATTTGTTCTTGTTTTAAGAAATTATGATTTTTGACAAAATCCTAGAATTTTGATATCGAAATTGTAAAAATTTTCTTGAGATAATCTCTTGCATATTTTAATTCATTTATTACTATTAGGGCAATATATTGAGAATTGTGAAATTGTGATACGTGAGTTCTTATGAAAATTTCAATTGGTTAAGATTGTGATTGTTGAAAAAATTGTAGTTTTATCTCTTGTATGGTTTGGGTGTGACAAACATGAAACCTTCAAGAACTATCGTAGAGTGTTGAAGGTTAGTCTATTCCAGTGGGGGTGAGATGAATGCGTAACACTTGTAGTGGATTGTTGTTTGTGAGAGCAAACATTATTGTTCACGTAGGTTCGAGGCCGAAGGATGGTATACCTTTTATGGGAAGGATTCTTCAATGCCGTGGGAGATGGTATACGCCCTTCCTAAAGTGGTTTGTGATTTTGCCCTGTAAGGAATGATTGAGATTGTGTGGTTGTGGTGTGTGAATGAGGTAGAATCGTTGTGTAGATTCCTGATAAGCAACCAACATACATAAGAATATAAGATGATGCTACTGAGTTATTAATTGATTATTTTAATTCTAACATGTTTATTCATTTCTTTGATTTATTACATTCTGTACGCGTAAGATCATTTACGGTTGTCATTTTTTTACTTTTAAAATGATATATATGTTATTTTTCAAAAGAGATTTGCCTTATTTTATTATTTTAAAAACCTTGTTTGGGTTTGAGAAGGATTTGGCAGAAAGGAGGATGTCGAATTAGATGAGCAGATCGATCTCGACACTAGAGAGGGTCAGTATGAAGATACTGAAGTGGAGGCTTAGAGATGCTTCATTTTAGTTTAGATTATTTTATTTAAGAGATTTCTATGAAATAATATTTTAACTAGTTTTAATTATTCCGCTGTTAGATATTGTTCTGTTTTGAATTGTAAGTTGAAGAAGTTACAAGATTTTATTGAATTTAGTATTTATTCTTTCTCAAATGGATGAATGATTTATTATTTAATGGTTATTGTTAGTTGCTCTCATGATTTGAATGGTTTCTAGATAGTAATGTCTTCCAAGATGAATTTTGGAGCATTATTACATTACTGCTTGTGGTTCTCATGTTATTTTGAATTTTTATTAACTCCACTTAGCACATATTTTATCACATGTCCTACGTGGATGGCTCCTGATTGAGAATTCGTGAAAAAAACTCTAGTTGACCGTAGGCAAGCATGTACCTCTGTGTCTGAGCAAAGGTCCAAGACATCGGTCGCGGCTTCAGACACAACTCTTGCTCTAACTAGACCTCAAGATCAAGAAAACGCTATGACTACTGTTAGGGTTGAAGCGATCGAGCTGGCAACTTCCATGACCATGCTGGAGGTCTCTGACACATCTCAACCAGCTCCGAGCTCATCTAGATCGGCTCCCACAATGCCAAGTCTTCTTAGCAGCATTCAGCTGGCTAGCTGTGGACTTTTGAGCATTATTTCACAAGCTGACCTTCAATAATCCTTCAGATTGAGTTATGCCGACAAGGCTAGGCATGCCTTACATCGCCTTCTATCGGTACATTGTTCTCTCTCTTTTATTTCTCTTTGAAGTTTTGCTTTCTAACGAACTTACCTAGTTTCTTGTAGGCTACTATGCATATCAATGCCCTTACTATAGAAATGCATTATGAAGGGCCTTCTTGGTGACAAGGAGATTGATCTTGCCTCAACTAAGAAGCAAAGGGCGGAGCTATCCAAACAGCTTAATGATTCTACCTCTTCTAAGATTATGTTGAGGAATCGACTATCCGCAAAGGAAGATGAGTTGGTGGAAGCTACTGAGAGAGCTTGTCCTAAGAGTGACCAGACAGATAGGGAGAACATCTAATTGAAATCCCAACTAGCTGAAATGAATAAGAAATTTTCTAACTTGAAAGCTAAGATGGATGTTAGGAAGAATTAGATGGATGAACGGAAGGCTAATGCTACCAACAATTTTGTAGATGACTTTGAGAACTTTCAGAAGCAAGCTCTATATGCTTTAGCTAACACCTCTGTTATACTAGTGTGAGGGTTTTTTAAAATAGAGAACATAAAATCTGATGACTGGAGTCTAAGCCCTACAATGAAGGCAGTCAAGGCCACTTTGTCATCAAGGTTGTCTACTTTGAGGGACTCTTGATTAAATTGTCACATATAACTTCCTAGTGACTCCTCTTGTTTTTCTTTGATGCTTAGAAGGTAGGAGCTAGGCTTGAGTGGATCTATGCGCTGCTGAAGAGTGATACGAACTGCATCGATAGTTCTTTATTAGAAGAAATGGAAGATAGAGCCAGTCTGTTGAACTATCCAATGGTGAACCTTTGAGAGTACTGACGAAGGCTCAGCATCGAACATGATCTTGATACCCGGGTGCTCCATCTGATTCTTGTAGTTATTGAGATGGTCGAAGGGATCTCTAGTTCTGTTAAACGCCTACAAGGTTGGCATCTTAAACTTGGAAGGTAGAGGGAAATGTTATACTTCAAGAGCGAAGGTAGACTCCTTTGTTGGATCAAAGCCTAACTCGTTCTAAACTTCCTTTATTTTTTTCCTCCCAATACCGGTTATGTGGGTCTTGGGCGAAACAAAGCTAAGGATTCTATCTCCTTCCTTCTATGGCTTTGTAGGTCTTCTTTGCCTTGATGATGATGGGCGTTTTCATTGAATTGACTTTGCTGGTTTTCTTCCATCACTCCATTAAGAGGTTGTGGAGGAAGTGGCGATAGATTTTGACGGATTCCCGATTGCTGAGGAGTGAGAAAGGTAATAAGCCACTGATTTTCTTCAAGAAGACAGAGCATGTTTTGCTTGAAAGTCTCATGCCCTTCCCTACGAGACGGATTTATCGAAGGAGCAGGACACAAAGGATCTTAGTGTTGATTATCCGGATTCTAACTCATGCCTCTAGTTATGGCGATCAATCAAAAAGAAGAGAATGAAACTTCAGAGGAAAACGATAAATATCGATTCTTACAGACAGTGCCAAACTAATGACATAAAATAAAGGTATGAGGTTGAAGAGGATGTACAAAGATCCAAAGATAAACAAATACATGTGTGTGTGTGTGTGTGTGTGTGTGTGGTAGTTTTTGTGAGTTTGGAGCCGAATAGCTCTTTTTGGTTGTTGGAAAATGATAGCTTATGAGAATAAAATGACTCAGGAAGTTCAATGTTTCACCAAATTGAAAAGTTTAACTAGTCTACTCTAATGGAGTTTCTTACTCACTAGTTTGTATTACCTAGAGAAGAAGATTGATACAAAGAGATTCTATCTCTTTTACGTAAGTTATAACCCCCTATTTATACGGGGATTAACTTTTGTCTTTATTTGAGATTGCGTGGTCCACTAGTATGTAAGAATCATCATGGGGAATATTTTTTCGTTAAAGGATTTTCAACAATATTCCACATGTCCTTTCTAGAAATAATGAGGTGTCATCTTTGGAGCGATATCTTTGAGCCCAAGGTAGGGGATGGTTTGCCAGGCCTTCTTCTTCTTCTTCTTCTAAAATGCATATCCGAGTTGATTAGGTATTGTTTGGTGATCCGAAAAAGGCTCGCCTCCTGAAGTGCTATTAAAGCAAGGAGGTCAGCCTAGTCGAGCTTTGTAGCCGAGTTGTACTTGAACTTGTCGAACTCTGATTATGTCAGCAAGGAGTTCACGCCGCTTATTGGTCATTTCAGCTCTAGACTTCATGGTCAAGCTCTTCAATGTTGAGCTGTGATAAATGAAGCTTGACTCTGGTTCATGGTATCATCATATTCAATTACTTGTTACATTCAATAACGACAAACCACCAAATGAAAAGAAACTCGAAAGAATGACACAAACCTTAAAAGAGAGATATGAGAAATCAAACCTTACCTTTTGGTAAGTTTTGTTTTTTTCTTGATGTCTTGATTGAGAAAGATTTTGAAAAAAACATCAAAAGTAGTGAACTAAGTTGGGCCTAAGTTGATTTTGGAGCACTCTCACTCGTGACTGAAACAATTGGTGGAAGATACCATTTGGGTGTTGTGGTGGGGTTGGGTGGGGAGTCCAAAGTCGGTTTAATTAAGCGGCCAGATTGAGCTTAATCAGCCAGGCCAGTGTGGCCCAATTTATATTGCTGAATGCTGACCTTTATGACAGAGTCAAAGTCCATGTAGTTTTCGGCAAGGATAGTGCTACGGTACGAAATTTTATTTTTTGGCATTTATACTGAAAAATAGTTTTTGGCCTTTGATCTTCTTTTAATTTAATTGTGATCATTCAACTTAATATTAATAGAGCGAGATAAAATAGTTAATAAAAATTTTTACACATGTCATATTTTTATTGGACCAAAAATAGAGCTATTGGCAAATAAAAGATATTAAGAATTTCAATTGATAAACTCAGATTTAGACCAGGCTTAGACTCAGGTCGTGGGTTGAGCCCAAATCATTAAAAAACAGGTCAAATTTAGCTCATGACTTCAGTTTCGTTCAAAACTCAAGAGTGCAGGGAGAGTCAATACACGTGGGAGAATAATTATCGAATTAGTCATTTCTTCAAGATAGTGTTCATCCCCAATTGTAGTTAGTCTCTCCAATAAACTAATATTTTGACCCTCACGTCACCGCCTCAATTAGGGTTTTTCGCCTAGAAATTATAACCCCCATACACATGAAGGCAGAACACACACTCCTTACATTGAGCGTATTCTTACTTTCTCTTTCTCTTACTATTTTGTACTCTCTTATTAATAAAGTTCTCTAACCACCATTATCACTTTCAGTGGTTAAGTCACTCAAGCCAAAATCACTCAATCTTTATATCTTATTATTAACGGCTTGATTAATTACTTTGTACCACACATTCGACTGATTAATTGTGCATCATCACCAATGACTCCAAAAAACAAAAATGGAATTTAACTTATTCTTTATGCAAATTAATCTCCCTTATGTCACTAGTTTCTTTATCCATGCTAATTAATCAAAATGGACATAGAAACATTTGCATAATTTTTTGAATCATACCTACATGCGATGTTCCTTGTCCATTTTTTAAAAACATTGGGATGTAGATGCAATGCATCATTTAAGATGCATGCCTTAATATTTACACATTTTTGTGTAATCTACATCAATTAAAATTTTAAAAAGTTTTATTATATTCTTAACTGTCTAACATAGCCATCAATTTTTTGCTCGGGTTTGAGATCAAATTTGTGAAAAATGAAAAAAACAACACTAAGTATGACTTTGATGGAATTATCTATATCTATATTTTTTATAATGTCGGCATTTGTAAAAAATTTTTGATTTTTGATTTTATCCTTAATTTTATAATAAAGTCAATTATACTCATATATATATTTTCATCTAATTTTTATTTTTTTACTCTTATTTAACTTTTAACTTGTTTTATATTCTTTTATAAAGATTTTTAATTTTTTTTTGAACTCATTTATTAATAGTATAGTTACTTACAATCTTTTATATCTATATAAATAAATGAAGTCTTGTACATGTTAAATTAGTATACACATGTAGTTATCAGATTGAATTCCACAGTCAAATATATGTTATATTTTATTTTTTAGTATGTAATAATATAATAATATTATAAACGATATAATCAATCTATTTAACAAAATAAAAATAAATAATTCTATAATGTTATTAGTTGTACAAATCCCTAAAACAAATGACAAGTTAATTACTCAAAAAAAATACTTAAAGACTTACAGAATAATTAAATTTAATAATAATTAAAATACAGATTATTTATTCGACATCAAATTTCTTATTTAATTTAATTACACATATAATTTATATTTTTTATAAAAATTATTATTTAAATTTATTTATGTGTAACGCACGTCGTACATTACTAATTATTAAATAAATATAACAAAAGGGTAAAGTACACACGTGCACTCGTTGGATTTGTAATCGTTAGTCAAATTTAGAGTATACACAATCACTTACAAAAAAAATGATAAAAGAATAAATCTTTTTTTTTTTTCAAAAGCGATATGTCCCTTTCAAAACTCGAATTTAAGACATTAAACATGAATACTTTGCCATCCAAACTATCATACGAATTGAGTGTCACGTTAATTTCTTAGAAGTGTGGCTTTTTCTATTTGTGGAAAACCCTTTACCTTTTATCCTTTACTTGTAGAGTAGACCCATTGAATCCAACCCTCAAACAAAGTCTCCTGTCAAATCCAACCCAAAAGATGAAAGAATTTCACTATTCACTAGTCACTGGTCACCATTCACCAATTCAATTCAATTCAAACCTAAACTATAATTATTGACTTGCCCTATTCTCAAACTTTTTCCTTTTTATCAATAATTAGGTTTTTGAATAGATGATCACCAAGACAAAATTGCAGCTTAGACATTAAGCAGGGAAAAGGAACAACATATGTATGAATGCTGTCTTGCTTAAAGCAAGTGGGCCCCAGTTGTACTCCTGATTTTTGGCAAATTAATCTTAAG